TGTTGGAACAGACTTGTTTGAGTTTCATTTGCAAGACTTATATTATCCATTTATCAGGAACTTTCTGTATTACGGACACAGTTCTCATTTCAGGTGTTTCATCTAAAGCTCTGTTCGGATCAGATTCACTCCTCTATTGAGAGATCCCACTGGGAAAAGAAGCCAGTTTTTCATACTTAAATTTGGACTGCTCTATTATATTGTAGCTCGCACCACCTCCACAGGGTCAGTCAGGGAGCGCAGCAGCCTGGAGCTGCAGGGACCACAGTCTTACTCACGGATGCTTATTGACGTGGATTGAGGGACAAGCTTGTTCCTCACTGTGACCAAAAAAAGTGTCCTTTAGTTTGATGTGTTGCCCGGTTACTTCTCCAAAGCTTCGGTTCTTCCTGTTCTCCTGTTTTCATGCGAGTTTCTTCTCCTCTCGGGCTTCCTGTGATGTTCTCAGATGTGAGCTTTGTGTGGTGTGTGTGTGTGTGTGTGTGTGTGTGTGTGTGTGTGTGTGTGCGTGCGTGCATGCCAACATCTGTAATTCAAAGTTGTCCCTGACAAGCGCGGGTTACATCAGGATAGCTGCTAATGTGAGTTGCCACGGAAACCTTGGCACAACCTCTGGGGCAGTGGAGCGATGAGACGGAGCGAGGGAGGTGCTGCAGGAGGAGAGAGAGTGCACAGACACAAACAAGAATCAATGGCTGTCAATTCACTTCAATTTCATTTCATTCATACAGCACCAAATAATAACAGGCGTTATCTCATATAGAGAGAGTCTAGACCGTACTTTTTATAATGTGTCGGTGTCGGTGGGCAACACCAAATTCAATTTTTGTTCCGATGACCATAAATCATCCAGAGCACATTGTTGTGTTTCAAACAGCATCATATTTCTCCCAATTCAAAACGTGACATTGTTTTCATTATTGTTCCATTCGTTATGGTTATTGGTGAATAAATTAAGAAGCTATTCTGTGTGGTTACTGCCTGAGTGACAAATTATGCATGCCAGTTTAAGTATTCCTCAGCCGCTGCCACATACGAGTGACTGAACGTCCGTATATTTACCTGAACCTTTTCCAATCCTTTCATTTTCCTCCAGGGAAGCACACGTCCACAGCGGAGGAGTCGGTAACGCTGGACAACGGAGGTTTCACTGCTTTGGAGCTCAACAGTCGAACGCTCAACACCAAGAATGCCTTCCTGAAAAAGAACGGCACCAGGTGTGCACTCACTCACTCACTCACACACACACATTTTGAATCAAGGATTTGATTTTTTTTACTTAATTATTATTAATGTGTTTGTGCGTCCAGGTCTCCCCCCAGGCCGAGTCCAGGTGGTCTTCACTACTCCGACGAGGACATCTGTAACAACTATAACGGAGCCGTGCTCACTGAGAGCACCACGCTCACAGAGAAACCCACTGAGGTGTCTGAGTCAGAGGTATCTCTCTCCATCTGACTCTCTCTCTCTCTCTCTCTCTCTCTCAAATTCAAAGGCTTTTATAGAGTGCTGCAGGATTGAGTCCTAAAACCCTGAAATTAGTTTAAGCACTTCCTCGTCTCGAAGTTAATGGCTTTCTTGAATGGGTTTTTGGTTAGACGCCTGAAATAAGGTTAGCGGTTTGCACAAGCTTAAGAGATTTCAACGTTTTGTTCTACGATATAAAATACGTCAGTCAGCGGCTGCTAACAAGTGGCTAAATGAGACTCCTAAACGTCATCACCAGTGCCATCTCAGGAGAACTATCCCATGTTATCTCAGCGTCTTCAACTCCAACCTTCCCCTAAGTTCTGTCTCTCCTGTCGAATAAAGGCAAAACTGACAACAAAAGATCTAAAACTCTCAGGGATGATCAGCCACAGACGTGCAGCGGCCTTAGACCTTCATGTCGACTCTGAAGTTCCTTCCCCTGATGTGTGTCTCTCTCTCTCTGATGACGTTTAACCCACCCCCTGCTGTGTGTTTGTGTTTGTACGTAGTTAACAGACAGCGACTACGAGGACGAGCAGCCCAAGCACTCCTTCGTCAACCACTACATGAGCGACCCCACCTACTATAACTCCTGGAAGCGGCAGCCCAAAAGCCTGAAACCGATCAGCGCTCCCTTTGGCTACGAGGAGTGCGCCACTGCAGACACGGAGCCCTACTACCAGACCGTGGTCACCCAGCACAGCACAGGCGGCGCGTACACGCCCACGGGGCAGCCCGCGCACACACACGTCAACCCCAACACCAACCCTCCTCCGGGGTCACGCACCCCTGTGACGGGATTCTCCTCATTCGTTTGACTCTAGAGACAAAATCTGCACAAAATGATACACACACATGTACACAAAATGAAGGAGGGGGGGGGGGGGGGGGTCCGCTGTGTGTTTGGACTAAAGGAGACAGAGCCGGAGGAGAGAGAGAGAGAGAGAAGAGAGCGGAGGACGAGCTGAGGAGATGTGGGACGGACTGGTGACTAAAACAGCCCCTCATGCCCCAAAGAACTAAACCCACACTTCTCACTCGCCTTCTCCCCTCGTTCACAAAGATCCTCACCGCGTCGCCGAGTGTGTGTGTGTTGCCCTCCTATTATTTTACGCCTCCGTGTCACTGTGCTCACACACACAGTTCTCGTTTCCACACACACACACACACACACACATTCACAGCGGCGTATACCACCAGATATCCATGGCTATTCCAGAGACTCTCCAACAAGAGCTGCGAGCGACTATGCGAGTCCGTCCAGTCTCATTTCGAGGAGAGAAGTCGACGTTCAAACCGGTGGAACGTGGAATTTCTGCACAACGCTTCGTCTCTGTTTTCTGTATTTACACTGAAGTGCACAAATCCACACGCATGCACTCCCTGGTGCGCCATTTCAGCACCTCCCCGCTGGGGGAGAGGAACTTTAAGGGTGAGGTGAATCATTAAAAGACGGCACAGAAGGGAGCAGCTTTTGTTGACAGACTGGTTCATGTACACAAACACGGAGCTGTCAGCTTTAAAATACTGCCACACAGAGGAAAAGAAGAAGAAAAAAATAAAACAATCGATAATCACGTTTTTTGAACTTGCCGGAGGACGGAGAGCGAGCGAGGGCTTCTTCAGATCTCAAGGCATTCTCAGTGAGAGTGTTGTGTGGTTTCTGAGAGTGCTGTGTGATGTTTGGGGTTTGGTTCGGAATATATGAAAACCATGTTTTTTGACCGTCTACTGCCTGTTGTCAGCGCTCCTCTTACCACAGCCTCCCAAGCCATAATGCTTGCACTGAGCCCACACATTTTGTCTTTCTTCTGTTGAAGTTACATTTTTTTACAAGTCTGGGTGTGTTTGAGTGGGACACGTGTGCGTAGAAGCATGCCGTGTATAAATGGCCCTGTGTTCAGCTAAGAAGCCCGTTCACCCATCTCTGTTGTTCACCGCTAAGCAAAAGCGTGCCATTGTATGTATGTTTGTGTTTTTCAGATGGATTTTGTACAGGGAACCCCGTTTTACTAGTGTGCTGTTGTATGTAGTTTCGGCCGCGTTTGTGTGATTCAAAGCAAATAGTGAAACGGCACCGGAGCGAGTCCTCAGCTACACCGACAGACGGGAGGGAGAAGGAGGAAGTCGTTCAACAAGTATCATGAAAAATAGATCAGCCGTGTGAGTGTGGAACAAGTTTACAGGGTATTTTAGAGAACCGTTCTTGTTCAAACTGAGTGCGATTGAACTTTGACTCATAAGGCCCCACTATCTGTACCCTGGCCTCAACTCCAGCAGCCAGGCTGCCACACATCTACTTTGTACCAAACAAAAAAATCATCTGTAAGTTTTCGCTCATGTATAATTTAAAAGATTTCTCCTCCGTCCCAGCCAGCCAGCAGCCTCCCTCACTCTGTCACGCTTGTTTTGAGTCCCATTACAGTGTGTGAATAAATGGTCATTGTTTAACAGCGTGTCTTTGTGGTCTGTTGTAGTACTGAGACAGTGAACGTGTCTCTTTTGGAGCGTCCTCTACACATTACACTTACTGAATTAAAGATGTGCCTTAACATTCTGTAACTGCCTCAGTCTCACTGAACTCTCTCAACCAGGCCTGTTAGCATTGTCTGTGTCTTTTATTTAAGTAGTACAAGGAGCATAGACTGTGTACAAGAAGGATCACAGCTTCTCAGTCAATAATTATTATCTATCAGTGTTTCAATGTTCTGCTCAGTGTGTGATCTTTTTTCTGAATAAAGTTGTGCATTCGCGGATACTGCCGGCAGCAGGTGGTTGAATGATTAAACAATTATGTAAGAGATCATTCAGCAGAAGCAAAGTGCATTCACTACAATCACCAGTTCACCTTGTAAACTGCCATGTGTCATCAAGTGAAAGTGAATATAAATAATCAATTTTAAGAAATGTATTCAGTAAAAATAGCAAATGTGCAAACTGTGAGACTTTGCTGCTTTTTTGTGTTTTGATAGTTTAAACTGATAAAACTTTTCCTTAATTTTACACATAAAGTATTTTCGATATTGTATTATTATTACCTTTACTTAAGTAAAAGATCTGTTCCACCAATTCAACCCCAATAAATATGAAGTAATACAACCAGTGGTGGCATGGCACTAAGTATTTACTCGAGTACTGAACTTAAAAGTAGAATGCTGAGTTGATTGTACTTTACTTAAGTATTTCAGATCTTCTATGCTTTTTATACTTTTACTCCGCTGCATTTCAGAGGCAAATATTGAACTTTTAGCACTGCTTTCGAGTAACGACAACTCCAGCCACTTCTTACTTTGTAGATTAAGATTTATGTTTTAAAACAATGAGCATAAAGATATGATGCAATGCTATACTGTAAAATAAACTACCCGAGCACCACCATGACCAGTTACAACATTTAAATGCTGCTTGTATGTTAATCAATAAAATACTATCAGACGTGCTTTTACTTTTGATATTTGGAGTACATTTTGCTGGTAACACTAATGTACTTTTCCTTGTACTGGGGTATATTTATATTGATGTCCACTGTCATGCGCCATGCGGCTCCAGGCCAGCAGGGGGCGCTGTGGACGGTGAAACAGCCCCCAGGGGAACTGTTGTGGTGTCCGGAAGAAGGACTCAGCATGGCGGATATTTTTACCACTTCATCCTTTGCTTTACAGTGTTAATATAAATATCGTAAAATGAATCCCGAATGTAAAACCGTGGCGCTGCAGTGAGCTGTATCTTCAGACACCAACGGCTGTTTTGCACACTGCGCAGGTCTGAGCTGGAGCAGCTGTTGACACCGCTGTCTGTCTTCTCTGCACACGTCCTGACTTGTGACCCAGTTTGGTTTGGTGAGTTTTCGTCTCCTCCTCCATTATTGCTCAGTACTCATCTCAATGCCCTTTATTTCTGCGGTGGCTGTGTGCTGCACCCAAACACATCCAGGCACCGTCCCGTGTGACGTGGTGAAATGTACAGGGGTGTGTGCAGCTTGTAACGTCAGTCAGGGGAGTTTACGGTGATCGCACTGCAGTTTATGTTAGCTTTTATATATTTTAGTTGGTAAACACGGGACACCCGCTGTGAAATAAACATCTGTACTCCCTGAGTAGCCCAGGGGCCTCCTGAAGCCCCCACAAACCCCTTGAAAGGGTCCAGTCTCACTAGTTGAAGATGAGTAGTGGCATCTGTTCAGTATTTCTCCTCAGTGACACTGTGGCTTCATGGAGTGAGGTCCTAATCTCTGACAAACAACACTAAATGTTAACTTTCCAAAAGTCCGTCAGGTCAGTGAATGCAGCTGTTTCCAGTTAGATGTTTAATGCAGGTTTGGATGCTGTGATATAGACTAATTATTCATTTAATTTACAATACCACAGTAAAGAAATATGCCATGACAAGAAAAAGCCCTGCATTCACAAGTAAAAGTACAGGAGTATTCGCAGCAAAATGTACTTTAAAGATCAAAAGTAAAAGTACTCGATACTCCCAGTGTTATATTATTGTATTACCGGATCATTATCATTGATGTATTCATATGTGGTGCTTTAATGTTGTCGTTGTTCAAGATGAAGCCAATTTTAACCGCTTTATATACTTTGGTAGTTTAGTCTGCCAGATCTGTAACAATGGATCATATTTTATATTCTGTTTTTTATATGCTTTGTGTGCAAAATCTTAATTTGGAAGGTAAGTAAAATTCTTAAGATATGTGTGACGTGAGGTATAATATTTCTACTGTAGTGGTGTAGAGGTATAGGTCTGTCCATCGTGTACTTTACGTGTCGCTTTGCTTTCTATAGAAATCGTACAAACTAGAATCTGCATAACTTTTTAGCTGAGAGCTGTGGCCGGTAGCTCCCGTGAAGCTTTGCTACTTTTTTTTTTTTTTTTTTTTTTTTTTCTTTTCTTTTTTCGTGTTTATCACTTATGCCAGATGACAGAATATTTTCATCAACATCTGAAAAGGAAGAGTGGGGATTAAGAGCAGCAGACTGTGAGACGATCACCTGCCCACGGCCGACCAACCAGACGGACCTGCTGGACCGAACGCCACCAAACTGCCTCAGGGAGGAGAGCCGAGATGGAAGCTAAGCTAGCCCAGCTATAGGACCTAAAGCTACTGCACTACCCAGCCTACTGCTGGCTGTCTTATGCCCGGTCACAGAACAAATAAACTCATCGCTCATCCTGGATCAAGCTGCACTCTGTGTTTACATCATGACGCTTGTTGCTCAAACACAGTCAAAGTTGATGGACAATATTTTCCTCATGTTGAATTTGTAATGTAATATTATCTGCCAAGAGAATTGTTAATATGTAAATTCAGAAAATGCACTACAGGAACGTACTACTGTGTTTGTTTGTCATGTGTTTGTTGTGTTACGAATAGGCTTGTGCCTCCCTGTGTTGCATAATGACAACAAAAGATCCATGAAACCCTAAATACTTGTCTCAGTCTCATGGAATATTAGACTGTTTAACATTTATTAACCCAAATGAAAGAAACTAAGGAGGAATTCCCATATTTCAATATGAATGGGGTGGACAAATGAATAGAAACGTCATAACCTTCATGAATGTGGATCTACAGCCTCACCGTTGTGTTAGACTGCATTAGTTTTAGCTAGCTGTACTGAATAAACCGAACCTGAAACTAACTTGTGTTTGTTTCTTTCACAGGTCTCCTGAGTGGGATGAAACGTCAGGAGCCTGAACACAGAACAAAGAGGGTTTCATCTTAATTCAAAGAAGAACTAACCTCAGTGAAAACAAACCGAACACCAAACACTAACAATGGGTGAAGTGACTGTCGAGGTAGATGCGGAGGTGACAAAACAGGACTTCTCCTCAGACCCTCTGCCAGAGCCGCTGCTGATAATCCTCTCCCCACCTCCACCTTTCTTACCGGTCCCCGGTGAGCCGACGATGTTTTGGCATAAGTGGCGTAAAGCTTTCGAACACTACGTTGAGGCGCTCGGTGAGAACAAGCTCGTGGACTCCAGTAGGCGTGTGCTCTTACAGAACTGCCTTGGCCTAGAGGGCCAGCGTATCTTCACAACACTGATCCCGAGTGAAACCACCTATGCGGCAGCCATCTCCTCGCTGACGGTTTACTTCTGCTCCGATCACAGCTCTCAGGTGCGCCGCCTTCAGTTCCATCAGAGGGCTCAGATGCCCGGAGAGACCGTAGATGTTTTTGTGTCCGCGCTGGAAGAACTGCTGCGGCCTTGCAGCTATGGAGACTTACAAGACGAGCTTATTCTGGATCAGCTGATTGAGAAAACAAACTGCCCACAACTCCGAGAGAGGCTGCTGTTGGAGAGGGAAACTCTGACCTTGGACAAGGCATTGGTCATTGCTAAAGAGGTTGAATTTGCTTTAAATGAACCCGAACTGTTTGGTTTTCACGAGGTCAGTGTGGACATCGGGGACGATTTAGACTCTCCTGTTCAAATAAAACGCAAAAGAGGGCGGCCTCGGCGCGGGGAGGGAAAGCCGAAAACCCCCGCAAAACCACGCTGGACTAAAACCCCGACAAGATCATCGAGATACAAAGACAATTACAGCAACAATAAGCTACATTATTGTGAAAATGATGATGTGTCTAAGAGTGACGATGAAGCCTGCGATAAAGCAGGTACTGAAAATAATGGAGCCTTGTCGTCGTCATCACAGAGGATGGAGGAGGAAGCCTGCGACAATGCTAGTGAATGTGTCGATGATGATGAAGAAGAAGAAGAAGATGATGATGATGATGATGAAGATGAGGACTTTTACCCGCCTAAACTCAAAGGCCCCTACTGTCCTATCTGTATTGACACGCGCTTCCGGGACGCAAACAAGCTCGCCAGGCACATGAGGATGCACACGAAGGAGAAACCGTTCCGCTGCCCCGTGTGCGTCATGACATTCAGCCAGTCCTACCACATGACCCGGCACATGAGGAAGAAGCACGGCGCGGGCCAGTATGTCTGCCCCACGTGTGGGAAAAGTTTGGAGAGCTTTGCGGGGCTGCAAAGTCACAAGAGGGCGCACGCGTCACGAGTTCTGTCCTGTACCGACTGTCACGAAAAATTCACTGACAACGATGCGTTCTCTAGTCACGTCATGTCACATAGCGAAGACCGCTCGACCCAGGCAGAGGGACCGAGTTCTCAGCAAAGTGACCAAGCGAAAAGCAAAGAAATAGTCGATTCACGTAACACTGATAATTACGACGATAGCGGGGATGATAATGGGGATTCTCAAGATAAAGAATCTAAAGTTAATGTTAAGATGGAAGAGAAGGACACCGATGGAGGTAAATCTCAAGATGAAGACAGTCTGAAAGAAAAAGTTGCCAAAACAAAAGGCCATTTCTGTCACATCTGCGTCGGCAGGCGCTTCAGAGGGCCGAACAAACTCGCCAGACACATGAGGACGCACACGAAGGAGAAACCGTTCAGCTGCCCGGTGTGCGCTATGACCTTCAGCCAGTCCTACCACATGACCCGGCACCTGAGGAAGCAGCACGGCTTGGGCCAGTACATCTGCGAAAAATGCGGGAAAAGTTTAGGGAGCTGGCTGGAGCTGAAAGCGCACAAGAAGACTCATGCAGTTGAAGGTCTGACGTGTCTCGCGTGCGACAAACAGTTCAAGGAGAAGGCTGCACTTGTGAGTCATCTCAAATTACACAAGAAAGTCCAGTCCAGCCCTCGGAGCCTCATCTGCAGCGACTGCGGCAAAGTATTTGGTCGAATGTATCACCTGAAAAGGCACATAGTGACCCATCGCAAAGCAACAAACGGGGAGGCTTACACGTGCCCCGATTGTCAGAAGAATTTTGCCTTCCCAGAAGACCTCAACAAACACTTGGAGATCCATGTGAAAGAAAACAATGGGACTTGTCCAAAGTGTAACGAAACCTTCAGTAGTCCAGAAGGTCTGGAGACGCACATGGGGGTTCATGAAAAGTCTTACGCCTGCAACACCTGTGGGAAGAAGTTTAAGGTGGAGTACGCTCTGAAGAAGCACGAGCAAGGCCACCAAAATCAGCAGTATTACTGTTCTTTGTGCCGCAAACGCTTCGTCAAGCTGTCTCACTACAAGAGGCACGTAATGGTCCACGACAGACGGGAATCGAGGTGTCCGCACTGTGACGCCGTCTTTCTGCAGTTAACGGCTTTGAAGTATCACCTGCGGACTCATACGGAGGAACGGCCGTTCCAGTGCACCTGTTGTATCGAGACCTTTGAGGAGAAGGAGGAGCTCGAGCAGCACCGCTTCAAACACAGGAAATTCAAGAAGGAGAGGCCGTACTCGTGCACTCGGTGCGATGCCGCTTTCTCAACACTGATTGAGCTGACAGACCACATGAGCTCACACGACGGAGAGCAGCCGATGAACTGCCCCGTCTGCGGCAGGACTTTCCTCAACAAGAACAAGATGGAGAAGCACCTGGGCATCCACTCGGGGGAGAGACCTCATCTCTGCTCCATCTGCGGCAACGGCTTCCCGTCGGCCGCCAGCCTCAAGTTGCACGTCCACATCCACACGGGAGAGAAGCCCTTCCAGTGTCTGCAGTGCAGCAAGAGCTTCAGGTCATCCAGCGGGCTGCGGCTGCACAGCAGGCAGCACATGGAGGTGCGGCCCAGCTACGAGTGTCCCGAGTGCGGCAGGACTTACGGTCGCATGACGGAGCTGAAGATGCACCAGCGCTATCACACGGGCGATAAACCGTACGCGTGCTCCTGCTGCAACAAGCGCTTTATAAGCAAAGACAAACTGAACGTTCACATGAGGATACACACGGGGGAGAGGCCGTACTCCTGCCCCCGCTGTGGACAGACCTTTACACAGACCGGAGACAGAAACAGACACATCACTAAATACCACTAGTTAGATGCTGTAGAGACCGTGAACTCCTAGGAACTTGTTGCATTTGGATGATGGCGGCGGTGGTTTTGCATATTTGTAGGCGCTGGTAGCAGTCGGAATAGAATCGGACTCTGATTATTCACATTATTTGATCAAGAATAAGAAACCAAAATAAGCTGTAGTAGGCAGATTTAGGCTACCACGAACACTAAAATGTGAAATGATTAGGTTGTGTGGTTGTTTTTTTGGTAAATTAAAGAAGAACATCGATGTTATCCGTTGTAGAATAGAATAGAATTCAAAACACGGCTTTAAATTATCGACCAGTGGTCAATCAATAATAATCCTTATTTATATCGCACATTTCATACAGACTATGTAGCTCAAAGTGCTCTACATTTAAAAATAAATAAAAACAGAAAACTTTCCTTTTAGAGAAAGCATGCATTTCTGTGAAATCAACACCTCACTGACAGTTTCAAGTATCAACAAAGACGAAGCATTACAAGTGCTTCAAGGTCTATTTACTCCTATTACTTTTCACTTCTTCTAAGGAATATTAACACGTATTTCTACAAAAGCCTTTGTTCAGTATGAATTCAATGGTTTCAAGGATAGTTTATTGTTATTATGCAACACGGGTTGCAGCTATTATTCAACAGCTTGTTTTACTGCTTTTTGCAAAAACACATTTACATTTGGATCATGGATTGTGCTTTTAAGGGTGGTCTGATATCTAAGACTCCACACCCGCTGTATAATAGCCACCTTCTCAGTGCAGCAAGCAAAAACGTGCAAAACCACAGATTTTTTTTTTTTTTCGTGCTACTACAAGCCTTTACTTTTGTTTCACCATCCCAACAGTTTGTAGCTTCTGTGCTGTTTTCTGCCAGCTTCACACCTGGACTTTGTTCTATATCACAACATTAGCACTTCATACAAAAGCTCTGCATGAGGGTTTAGTCCTTGTAGCTCCTCCCTCTTACCCCTGTGCCTGACGCGCCCTCTTCACACAGCAAGCACCTCGTTTTACCAACAAACACACACTAGTGACCGGCATGCCAATAGTTCTTTGACCTCCAGAGCTTTTTTGTTCAACTTGTTTGCCCAAATCTGGGGCTAGAAACTGGACTCAATCACGGTCACTCAAATGACACTAAAAGACGTCAGAGGTTTAGTTTCAGTGCTTTTGTACTGTGCTCCCCTGCCACAGTATGTTGTCGTATGTTTGTTTTGGTTCATTTTTTGAATTTTTTTTTTATTTAGCCATCTCTGTATCCAGGTGCTTTGTAACTGTGTTTAGAAAAGTGCCATAAGAATAAAACAATTATTCACCCTGCTTGCACATGTAAGGAGGTTTATGAATGGTATTTGAAAAAGGTAAACAAAAGAGAAGAGATAAATAAAGTGGTCTCGCAGGTTTTCCCCTCGGTTCCAACATGCAGATAAATATTTTGCAGCCATGAGATCTGTTTTTAAGTTATCTCTCCCGAAATGTAAGAATATTTTTGCCCTCATTGAAGAATTTCTGGGCATTTAATTGATCTAAAACTAGAAATACCAAATGTAAAAAACATAAAGTATATATACAGTATATTATAATAATCTTTGGAAAGAACAAGATTATTTTACGTTTTCATTTTAAACATAAATGTGGAAATGAAAATGAGTGATGGCCTATTAGTGCCACTGCCATGCATAAAGATACCTGTTATCTTGCATACAATACTGAACTATAAAAATAATGGACACATTCATGTTTGGAAAAAAAATAAAAAAATTGAATTGTCTAATCAACCAAAAATTTCGCGGCCCCCCTATTGAAGACCTCTGCATTACACTACTACTTCATTAAAGTACTAGTTTATAAAATAATTCAATTACTATTTTTGTGTGAAACAACCAAACTGCAAATAATACAACGTGTAAGATATACAGTAAATGATACTAAAACGACATGAAATGGGTACAAATTTAAATCAAGAATCATGCTGGAATTTAAAAAAGGGAAAAAAAGACACTATTGTATAAGATTATATGTGAGAATCAAGTTAAAGGTCAAATTGGACCTGTGTATGTATCTAGTCTGTTCTGACTTGTATCAGTGAAACATCTGAAATAGGACTGGATGATATAATATGGATAATATAATCTGTAATATGTATTAACAATGTGTCTTAGACACATTAGTATGAGACACAGGGTCCTGGTAGTGTGTATGCTGGCTCACTGTCACTGCGTCATGACTTACTGGGATACCTGATTAACAGTAACAGGTGGTGGAAGAAGTAACTATAAACTTCTACTTCTTTACTACATTTCAGAGGTTAATATTGTACTCCACTATATTTATTTGACAGCTGTAGTTACCAGTTACTTTGACATTTTAAATAGAAAACATAAGATAATCATGTTAAATATGATGTATTAATATGGATTAAACTACCAAACAGTATATAAAGAAGCTACAATTAGTTCCACCGTGACCAGATGGGACACTAAAATGTAGCGTACATGAAATATATTAGTAATAATAACCCAATAATATAATACAAATTTAACATTGGCAGGTGGTGTAGTACAACTTGTCATACTTAAAGTACATTTATCAGATAATACTTAGTCTTTCACTTAAGTAAGACTTGGAAAGCAAAGCTCGGTCTTTGTCTAATGTGGTACTCTGCAGTCTATGGTAGTACTCTACACAGTGTTATTCCTACTTTTTAAGAATTTAAGAATACTTATTCTACCACGAGCACTGCTCATAACATAGTTATATTTTAACCTTAGGGGTATTCTTTATAACAAGTACTGCACTTTTACTCCTGTCCGGTAGGTGGCAGTACTCATTGTTAGTCATGTGGCTAACGTTACATACGATGCTCTGTTTACAAAGAGAAGAAGAAAGAGGGATAACAGGCTAGGTTAACGTTAGCTTGAAGAGAAGTAGATTCGTAATAGTATAGAAATTAGTCAGTTCTATACTACTGACGTGAACTGGATAACGTTTTTAAAGCGACGTAATGTTGGGTAATGTTACTGAATAAAGAGCCCTCGCGCATCTTGAATTAGCATGTTTGTATGTGTCTTAAAGCGAATGCTAATGCTAGGCTTAAGCTCGCTAACCATGTTAGCTCACACGTATGCTAACTAACGTTAACTTATTTTTTTACGGCTACAAAGGTAGCTAGATGTTAACCGTTGTATTATTCTGAGAGATCCATTGACTCACTGCAAACTGTATTTTGGTCAATTTAATGTGTGGAACAATGTTTAAAATAAGCAAACTAGCTACTAGCTTACTAACGTTACATAGTTTACTGTAATAACGTTACTGTCAGTCCGACAGTTTGCTACCATAGCTAGAGCATTGTAGCTAGAGACTATTATTCTGACTGACTTTCATTGAAGTAATAGTGAACTGGTAAAGCTTCCAACTTGCTCAAGCTACACCACTCTTCATGGCTGCTTTAGGCTTTACTCCTGCCAGCGGGCAGGATATTTTCAGCTTCGAAACAACCGAACTATCGAGCTCTAACACGAGCAGTGCACTTAATGGGGAAGAAGTCAGGCAGTTCTATGAGAATTTAATGAAAGATGGTAAAGGGCAAGATGTATCAAGGAGAAGTGCAATCAGCAGGAAAGATTGTGGCAGAGAGCATCAGCCTAAACAGAGGATCAGAGAGTCCAGTAGAAGAGCGAGGAGGCGAGTCAGTGCTGCAGAGATGCAGCAGGGTCAAACAGAACATGTCGGTCAAAGTGGGATTAGTGGTGAAACGGTCCCAAGAAGACAGGCAAGCATCTCAGAAAGCACCATGGAGCTCCTGGGGCTCAGGTTGCTGCGTTGTGCCCACGAAGGGGACATCTCTGCCCTCAAAGACCTTCTCTCAAAAGGGGTTGACATCAACGTCCAGGTACAATACTTACAGCTCAATGTGTTTTCATTTTTTGAAATATTTTATTTGTCTCAAGTCCTGATTGTTTCTCTTCCTCTTCCAGGATACTTACTTCTGGACGGCGGTGATGTGTGCAAGCTGGTCCGGCCAGAGAGCTGCAGTGAGGCTGCTGCTGCGACGCGGAGCAGCCTGGGTCGGAGTGGTGGATACACGGGGCAGGGATGCCAAAGACCTGGCGCTGGAAGGTATGCAAATCTTTTTTTGAAAACTCAAAATGTCTTTTTGTTTGTTTGTTTGTACGTGGAAGTTAAACTCGTTCATATCTTTTTCTTTTTACCCCCAGCGGGACACAATGAGGTTTTGGAGGAGTTGGAGAGCTTTGGGAGAAGTACACAGAGAGACACACACTCTGATTACAGGTTAGCATACTCTCAGTTGTATACGGTTCAAACCACATTGACCAAATTCCACTTTGTGTGTTAAAACTTGCCAAACCCCGTCTCATCTATTCATTTGAAACCAGCAGGGTAGCCATCACAGTCCACCACAGCAATACACTAAATATTAAACCAACATATAAGAGCCAGATTTCTGCTGAAACATCGATATTTGAGTTAGAAAGAAATGGGTAAAATACATCGGCGGATATAACAGTTTTGATAATGTTCAGCTAAATTAGGTTATTCAAGAAATGTGACCAAGATTTTACAGTTGAAAAATACTGTCTACTTATCAGCTCACACAAAAGTTGAAGACCTGACCTAGCTTTTGAATATTTGACTGGAAGCGTGAGTAACAAGGAAACTGGTTTCACAAAACAGTTCATTTGATAGAATGAATCACCGGTGAAAGAACATTGAAGACACAGGTATTGCAGTTATTTCACCTCTGCTCAGGTTGACTCAGGTGGGCGGAGCTATGAGGAGAACAACAACATGGCCACAGGACTTCATGTAGCAATAAGAATGATAGAGGTGTAATTAGTCACACCCGGCGATGCCAGTCACAAGCTGTTTCCCAAAAGCATACTGCATACAAATTCTACACAGTATACACTACATACTAATCTTCATAGTATACTGTTTTAATAGTCTTTTTTTTGCTGTTTCACCGAGATAAATAGTGGTTTCACCACTACCCAATATTTGTTTAAAACTTTCCAGCTGTGAGCAGCTCTTCCATGTCCTTTGTGCATTGCATTGTGGGAGATATGTTCATCAACAGCTCACTGGAACATCTGCCGTATTTTGTACGCATACCGTTCACTTTGAGTATATAAAAAATTGATTCGAAAGCTAAATTAGACAAATTTAGTAGATATCTTCAAAAGTTACAACCGTTTTTGTACAAATTTCCCTTTTCTTGTTACTGTCCTTCTATCACAGCAGGAACTACTGTCCAGCAAATAACAAAGAGGGAATTTCAGACTAAAGACTCAAACTGCTGAAGCGTCATAGTAGCTTAACTTCAGTATAACTGTTTACACAGAACAACATCACTGACATCATCTTGCAGTAAACAAATACTGTGTTAACTTCTGCACATGTGGGCACTTCACGATTGTTTTCAGACAGACTTTAAAACTGAATCTGTTCCTTTAATATTTCTCCTCTCGCTGACGTCGTCTCTTCTTCTGGTTGTCCCCAGTGCCCCCCCCGGCTCAGTGGTGTGCTGTGTGTCGTAACGAGTACAGCAGCAGCCTGTCATCACATGTGTCCTCCACTCTCCATCAGTTCAGTCTGCGGCGGGCTCCGCCCACCCCCTACTACTGCCTCCCCCCGTCCAGCAACAGCTACAAGATGATGGTTCGTTGTGGCTGGAAACCGGGTTCAGGGCTGGGGCCAGAGGGAGAGGGGCCTCAACAGCCAGTGCCAACTGTGCTGAAGAGAGACCAGACAGGCCTGGGCTTTGGACACGTGAAGAGAGCCAAAGTGACTCACTTCCAACCCAGGGATCGTGACGCAGTGAAAGCACCATCTAAGAGGAGAGAGGAGAGAGGAGGGAAAGGACAGAGGAAAGAAGAAAGTAGGAGAAAGGAGCAAATAGATAAGAGCTGGGAAAGAGATTTCCGTGCCTCGTTTTATCTTTGACACCTGCTCACAGGGACTTCTCCTCAAGCCTCTCTCTCAACACTTCTCTGAAACATTAAACGGATCTATTATGAAGACAATTTGTACCTGCTTTTTGTTTACTTTTCACTTTGCAGGTTTTTGTAAAGCTGCTGGGATAAATTTGAATACCATGACGATCTCAAAGCTGATACTGGGTCCATATGTGCAATGACCAAATGTGCCATCGGTGTGATTAAATCTCTGTGTGACCAAATATGGTTTGCTGTTGTTGATCCGCTAAGACTGTTTCAAAAAGTAAAGTGAATGGATTTTATTTTGCATTTATTAAAAAAATAATACACATACTGTGAATCATGGTTCATGATCTATGAAAAGAAACATTTTTTGTCAAAGAGCCATGTTGATATGTTTTATAATACAATAGAAAACATTACTGAGGCATAGCAACCCTTTATGAGTGCTAATGGAAGGAAAAATATATTTAAGTTGTCTTGTAGTTTCTCCTGAGTGACTGCAGTAATGCTGTGAAAGTTTCTTTGAGTCACATGCTTGTGCATATCTGCCATATGAGTCTATCACTGCTGTGTTATCGCTTCCTCACATTGGGCCTAGTGAAACATGCCTTACCTATTCTTGACAGGTGGCCATTTAAAGACTCTTGGACAACTCCCCCAATGAGCTTTGTCTACCAACGTCGGTATCAACTTTCAATCACAAGTTCAATCTTTTTTTATATGTTTTGTACTCCAATCCAAGGGTCCGGTAATAAATACTGTTGAACAATGTTTTCGTTGTTCCACGGAGGTGTTGATATCATAGAGAAAACATTATGTAATGCAGTCAATTGTATTCAAGGGGCTTTACAGTGTGTACAAGATTCATCACCCATTGTCATTTTCAACCCTCGCTGCAGAGAAGAACAAACCTCCCCCCCAGGAAAAACTACCCTTTAATGAGGAAAGGATGAAAGAAACAAAGTTCAACTTCATACAACTGAGTCATCACATAGACGACTGAAGTCGTGGTAAACTGATCATTTATCTAAGTATTATAGATGCCATGGCATCGCATGATTAGGCAAGGCAAGTTTATTTGTATAGCACATTTCAACATCAAGGCAATTCAAAGTGCGTCACATAAAACCATTAAAAACATCAAAACATAAGGCAAAAGAAAAGGAGATTGAAAAACAATTAAGAACATTGATTGAAACATTAAAAACAGTCATTAAAACACTAAAAAGCAGTATAAGACATAAAATACAGTAGTAGTAAAATGCAGAAATTGATTAATATTCTTGAATCTGGTTCAATTAAAGGCAGCAGCAAACAAAAGTCTTCAATCTTGATTTAAAGGAGCTGAGAGTCTTTCTGGTCATTAAGCATAGGTGTGCTCTGGATTCTGTTCTGTTACTCTTTAACTCGTGTTTTTACCCTCTCTGTGTCAAGTGGCTCAGTAATGAGCAGTATCACTCAACAGCTCGACTAGCCTCGGGGTTGGTTGGCTGGTCTCTACTTGTTTCCATGCACTCATGGGGTGTCCTTTATGGTATTTATTAAACAATGTCACAGTTTACTGATTATGCTCCATATAACTATGATACAATCACTTTGATAATTTAGATATAACACAAAACATTCATTCATGTCCTCGTGTCGTCTTGACATCTGCAATTTCCCGCAATTTTGACAGTTTATAAAAATCTTTTTCATCTAATCTCATCATCATTTCTTATAATCTTCAACAAATTTGGAAGGCAACATATTTGCATCATTACCCAATACATTATTCATTGGTGTTTAGATATTCAAAACCGTCCGATGCACATACTGTATAAATCCCCGTCGTGTTCTTGTTCAAAACTCAACATGATTGACTATCACTGTGTCTGTTTGGATTCAGGTCAGATTACAAACTTCTGCTACAGATTGAAAAGTTATAGTAATAAACTTTAACTAGCATTTTCAGTTACTCAAATTATACATTTTGAGGATAATTCAGCCTTGAGAAACATCTCTCTCCGGGTACATCCTAGTTGGACTTGTCCTCATTTCCTGAGGTGATTGAACGTGTCCCCACCTTTAGTTTGATTGGATTTAGGGGTCCAACAAGGCTTTTAGGATCCATCGTCAAAGGGATCTGTGGAATGGACAAATTCACTAAATCAAAACTTGTGATCTCTCTTATGACAAATCTAGCTTGTCAAGTGTCTTGTGTAAAAACAACCATGGAGATGTCTACCTAAGAGTGTATTTAAATATAATCACCTCTGTCTCTCCGCAGACGGAGAAGCTGTAGTTCTGCAAAACTTCCACCAAGGCCAGTTTAACCAACACCAGAGCAAATCGCATCCCCAAACAGTTCCTTGGCCCGTACCCAAATGGCAGGTAAGTGTACGGGTTGATGCTCTGCTTGTTCTGCGTACTAAACCTGAAAAACACCAATGAAAATAAGATGTAATTTTATTTATTTATTTTATTTATACACATTTTATTTCATGGACTCTACAAAAGATTAACAAAATTATGAAATTACTTAATTTTAGTAATGCATGCACCACTTTTTTTAATAAGAAATCATTCCCATATGTATTGTAGCTCATTGACACGAGTGATTCAGTCATTATGAAACGTTCAAAGCTGTTTGGGTGACCAAAAAAGATATAATTTGTACTCGTAAATTTGTGCGTTATTAGATCTTAATCCTTGAGTAAAGTTTGACAGTACACACATATCCACACATTGACAGAGCACACATATACACTGTGGTAGTAACCTGTCAGGTTTGAACTCCTCTGGCTCTGGCCACAGCTCAGGGTCGCGGTGAAGAGCGTAGACTGGAATCATAACCATCATGTCCTTTGGGATTGTGATTCCACTGATCTTGACCGTTTCTTTTGCAACTCGGTCGATACGTCCAGCTGGAGGGTAGAGCCTATCGACAAAACAATACTGCATGTCTTTATCAGAGTAAATATTCAATACTTCAACTTGTACCCAATTGTGTATTCTTGAAACACTGTTTTCGTTGCCCTAGTATTTGTGAATGTTGCAATAGTTTCAATGACTGGGTAATTCTTGAGCCCTTGTTGTTGTTTTTTGCAACTCTGACTGGCATGATTCTAGGCATGGCATTGTTCTGGTCCAGACTACAATACCTTGACAAATATTAGATGGATTGTCATGGAATTTGGTGAAGACATTAATGTCGCCCTGAGGATGAATTCTAATCATTTTGGTGATCCCATGACTTTTCTTTTAAAGCTATTATCAGGTCAAATTTTTTGTTTTGTTCAGTACTTTGGTTTTTGATCAAACATCTGCTAAACTCATGGCATTCCCATCAACCTCAGCTATTGTTAAACGTTAGTGATAATTAGCAAATATATAATTAGCATGCTAACACGCTAAAATATGTGGTGAACATTGCCTGCTAAACATTAGTATGTGCATGTCTTCATTGTTAGCATGTTAGCACCAACTAGCACAATAAACTGCTCATTACCTCAGACTCTCATTGACAACACTGTCTAGGTACTCCATCTGCATCAGATCTTCATATTGGACTGCACCCTATAGAGTTACAAATCACGGTTTGATTAAACACAGATCAGATTTTAAATACTGTAGTTTCATCAACGAAATGAAATGCAGAGAATGACTTCCGTACCATAAACTTCTGGTTTACCTTATTAGGGAAAGTAGAGTCTATCTCCTCTTGCAGGCGTTTCATGACTTCCGGATTTCTTGCCAAATTATAGGCCAAGAAAACGAGAGTGGTGGCACTCGTCTCGTAACCAGTAAACACAAACATTGTGGCTTGGGATAAGATCTCATGGTCAGTAAGACCTGTCAGGACAGGCGAGATGTATGAACAGTGAGGGAAATGAAAGGAAGCGTCAAAACCTTTGGTGTGAACACATGTGGGTGTACATTTGTGCTTCTGTACGTGTGTGACGCCACTGAGTAATTACCCTTATTCTGCTTTTCTTTACTGGGAGCATTAGCAGTCTGAGAGTTGATCATATGTTGAAGGATATCTCCCAAATTCTGGAAAAGGGTCAGATAATTAGTATGCATGTTGTCATCATGTGTATTTGTGAGTACGGATGTGCAGTGTGACAACATACTGTGCACCGTGAGTCGACAGAGATTTGGCTCCATGTTGCAAATGTATGAGCATTGGACTTTTGGGAATATTTGGATTCACAGGATTTTTGTGTTTGTTACACTGGAATTGTAAACCGAAATCATGCCCATCTTGTTATTCTTATGTTATTTATTATGGTTAAAAGCTCCACAACCGCTATAATATGGATCTTGAGGTGAGACTGTTTTGTCATCTGTTACTGAACTTCTGGAAAAAGTTTAATTATTGTGATATTCAATAGAACTCTATCGTGACATGAGATTAGACATACTGCAATAGAAGATTTGATCCATATTGCCCACCCTTAGTCACCCTTGTATGTTGTGCAGACCTTGTCTGAGCTCCCATTGCGCTCGGCTCTGATCTTCTCCAGAAGCGTTTTAAAGAAAGCAGTAGAGGTCTTGGAGAACAAGGACACACCCAGCAGGTCCAAGAGAGGAAGAAGTACAGGGAAAAACCCTGAGAAGAAAGCAGGTGTTAACAATTGTGATTTTAGTCACTAAACAAAGCTGTTTTACATCAATATAAAGAAAAGTCATGGAAAAGCAGTGATGTACCTTGGAGAAGGATGACAGATATGGGGAGTCTGAACAACTTGGAAGCATGGATGATGAGGGGACTTGAGGGGTTGTTGATTGAGTCCACATCCACACTGAATGCACAGCTCGTCATCACATCCATACTGTAAGCTCCAAAGAAGCTGGAAAACAAACATTACATGAACCATCGATCAGTTTCAACCAGATGCTATCATGTTTGCGTAGTTACAGACAATGCAGTGACGTCATGTTTACAAAAATAATTTCTTAATCAAAGTAGAGGAAATGGTAGCGCACAAAGGATTATGTACTTTTGTTAATGAAGATACTACACGCTGTCTAGTGCTTCAAATAGTATTGTTCATACTATATCAGATTTAGAGCATATTTGCCTCGATAGTGGGGACTAGATGATTAGGGTCTGGCTCAGAATAGTTGACCATTAATCACACGTTATTACTTTAAAACAGAACTTTTAATCTTAACATCCATTTCCAGACTCTACACGTTTCATATTATAGGGCAATGAAGGTTTGTCTAATCTTAATGCTAGTCTGCCACTAATAGAAAGCTGAAATAACAACACACACTGGAATATACAAAAATATGATGAAAGGCATTAAAATAATGAACTTCTCAGTTTTGTCAACTGTGATCTAACTTCGCTTCGGATAGGGAAGTTTTGAAACGACAGTTGGCACGATAGATCTTCAGTCAAATATTTCAAATTAGATGACAAATGCTTCTTTGTGTTTTAATTTGTTAACGGAATAGTTCAACATTTTTGGAAACCAACATATTTGCTTTCTGGCAGAGAAGATTGATACCACTCATTTATGTCTGTATTGTAAATATGAAGCTACAGTTAGCTTAGCTTAGCACAAAGACTGAAAACAAAGGGATACAGCTAGCCTGGCTCCATCCAAAGGTAACGAAATCCGCCTCCCAATGCCTCTGAAAGTAATTTACACATGGTTTTCATGTGGCCATGATGGGTAGTGTTCTGTCATTAAAAAGCTGCAGGTTGCAAAAAAAACAATGATCAGTTATTAACCATTCATATGGTATTACTCACTCTTTTACAGTAATAACTTCATTATTGTGCGCCTTGGACTGCAGGCTGGCTGTCAGTTTGCTGGAATGATGTTTCATGATGCTAAACATCTTAGACAAAGGAAATGCAAAATTTGCAGAAGTACATAAAAGGTGAAGATTTAACCAAGAATTTATCCAAATATGAGTTGAAGTTAAGAAAATTGTCAACTTTTACCTCTTTTATACGGCGAGAGGTGAAGAAGGATGTGAGGATGTTACGAATCCGTCTCCATTGATCATCCTCGGCTGTAGACACTGAGTCATATAGTTCCCCATTCAGACGTAAATTCTAAAGGGGCAAAGTACACATGTTTTTGTGGGTTATTAATTGTACTTATTTGTGGAAAAGCTGTTCATAGTAGTACCCTTGACAAAACTCAGTATTGTCTGTGTAGCCACAGCCTCATATATCATTCATTCCTCTGTGCCATAGTGCTTAATTGTTGTGCAAAGACTGTTCAAAATGCTTGAATGAGCCACACTATTGCACTAAGTGATGTTCCTTTATTTCTTGCTGCTTTGGGAAATCAACCCTTTTTACACCTCCCCGCCGGCAGCATTATGTTTGCGGGTTGTCCTACCATCCAGACGTCCATTTCCCGATTTCCAGTATTGTCCTGAATGCAATACCTTAGGAATGCCTGGAAGGGATTTTTTCAAATTTTGGCACAAACGTCCACCTGAACTGGAGTTTGAACTGATTTATTTATTGGTTTATTTGGTAGGGACAGTGCACATTAATAAAACATCACCAAGCCAAGCATTAGCCAAGAGGTTATTTTTCATCTGTAGTCCCTGATCAAATTTTGGTGGACATTTCTTTTTTTTAAAATAACAAACGTTTTTAACTCGAGAATTAATTTTCTATTTCTGACAATTTCACACAAATGTCTAATAGGATAAGATGATTAAGTGATGAAATTTTGGACAGACATGGATTGGTTGACGGAGGCGGTAATGCTAGTTATGAAGACTTTTAAGGATTTACATTTTCAATAGGAATGAATTGGCAGTTATTGGCACTGAAGGCCACAGACCGGGTACGGGAGTCGGACAGTATTGAGAGAATGATACTATTCTTATTAAGTAAGAAATAATTGAAAAACTGATGGCACTCTGCTGGACTGTTGGCAGGCAAATCCAAGAGTGACATTTATTATTTACTGCCAGTCGCCATTTATTTCAGAACTTCTAATCGAGGACTTACCAATACTTGTCTTCCCATTTTAAAAACCCATCCTCACAACTTGTACTACTTTGAAGAGTCTTCTTTTACTATTCATTGTTAATCCTGTGAGTTCTTCTCACTCTCCGGTTGGTAAAGTAAGTGAAGCACTCCTTCACCAGGATGGTTTTCAGCATGTCAGGCTCCATCACAACCAGCATGGGCCTCCTGAACTCATACAGTCTGGACAAGTACACAAACACATATTTACATATTGGAATTCAGTGTAAAACTCTTGTCATTGCAGCAGGAGATAGCATTTGCTGCCATTAATAACAGTGCTTACGTAAGCAACCAAGTGAGAGGTTCAACACTCAAAAGCTGTCAAAAAAACTACATGATAATTGGGAGCTCGTGGCTCAGTTCTTATATCTAGGCCGCGGTCGAAAAGTCCAAAAAATGACCTCCTAACGTCTATTCCTAACCACTTTTCCTTGACCTCTATGGAAAAGAGGGGGTCAAGGAAAGATGTGAAGGAGAATTCATGAGGAGTTAGGAAAAGACAACGTGGTGTTTGGAGAATCCGACTACACTTTCACTAAGCTACGTAATTATGATGCGACGGCGAATGTCACTGACGTAGGTCTGTAATGGCGAAACTATAACGAAAGACTACAAAAAGCGCAACTAAAACATGATCCCATGAAATCTGTTAGTCAATTGCATGCAGGCTTTATAAAGAAAGGCTGCCTCACTCGTGGTATGCAGGAAACAAACCGGAGCTCCTTCCTTCCTTCTGCTGTCACACTTAATGATCAACACTGCTTCAGTAGAAACAGACAATTCACTCGTTCAACATCAATGAAACTGTTCAATATCAATATTTCCTTTGTGCAACAATGTAGATTCAACGGTTTGGTTATATTTTGCTTTTTAACAGTTTAATAATCTATCATTAGCCTAGCTTGTTTTTTTTTCACTGATGCTTCTTGTTATTGACAATTTGTTAATTGACATTTTGCTATGCGGTTCATTTTATTTCATATTCTTTTTTTTAAACGTATTTGTCACATGTTCGAAGTAAATAAATACATATGAAATAATAAGTAAGCTCTACCCTGTTAAAAGCTTTATAGACTCACCCCCATACTCTCCCATACTTCTTAGCACTTAGGTTGTCATCCTCGTAGTAAACCTTGTAACAGAGAATACATATTCATCATCACTAATCATTCACTCATTTAAATGTAACAAAAGGATTTATAAAGATTTACATACTGGGTGGTTCCTGCCAATTGTGCCCCAGTAAATGTACGGCTTGGGACCTGGGATCCCCAACTTCTCAAATATTCCATGAGTCCAGTTGCCATATCTGTGAAGAACAGCAAAGCAGTAAATCATGTTTTTAAAGTAACATAGTGTCAGTCAAACACTTCACATTCAAGCCTAAACTTGGGTGATTTGGTGCAGTAATATCACCTTAAGTACAAATTATTATTATATTTTTTGAAATCAACCTTACATGACAAAAAGGCAGATAAATGTGATCAGTAGAATCCATGTTTCAACTGAGAAGAAAGGAAGATAGTCCATTGCTCTCTCTTGCTCGGCCAAGTTGGAGTGACCTCAGTTTTGCACTGAGCTCTGACTGAATGTCCAGGAGGTGTGGCTTCTTTTCACTGTGTGGCAAAGAACTTGAGCCACTTCCACTCTTGTGCAGCAGCAACAACACATACTGCTTGAGTTTCTGACGTCAACATGTGCCTGGACGTGCCTGGACATGTCTTTGTGTGAGCACACATTGTGAATAGATATGTTTAAATAAAAAATATGACAATAACACACCTGAGTACATGTATCTACATTCATTTAGGATGTAATCCTCCTATCTTTCTTAACACAAGCTATATAATAATTTAGGTCCCAAAATTGCAGAGTCACAGATAATTATGAATGCTGCTTGGTCTCTTTCTGTCAATGATTCACATGACACTGCCGACTTCCTATTGGTTCAACTCTCACACACCTTACTCACACGCAAGGGAAGTGCTGCAGATAAAAACTGATGGTCAGTGATTTGAGGTGTTAGTGGAGCTTGTGCGACCATTGAAAGAAGAGAAAACCTGCAGAGATGGGCTTCTCCCTCTTTTTCTCCGCTGAGACCTGGACCCTTCTGGTGGCTCTCATCACATTGATCTTTGTGTAAGTGTTTAAGAATACTTGTAACAGGTATTTGTACCGTGTTTATTTGTGTTTGTCTGTGTGATAAAAATCTCTTCTCTTCTTTCTGTTTTTTTGTTTTGTTTTGTTTTACAGGTATTCCTGCTGGACATTTGGAACATTTAAGAAATTGGGCGTTCCTGGTCCCAAACCAGTCCCTTTTTTTGGCACCATGCTGGCATATAGAAAGGTTGGTAAACTTGTTTTTTTTCAGAAGTTGTACATAATAGATCTACAGGCTTAGCAAGGT